AGTGGGAGCCAATGGCTACTGCTGCTGTCTCTGACAATGAGCAGGCTCATTGGCTGAGAGAGAAACCATTTTACACTTGCAAGGGTGCCTACGATGGCCAGCTGTTATTCAGTTATTCAGCGATGTGCAGGAGAGCCCTGGAGAGTCAAGACTCTCATGCACATCGATGGAAGCAGAGGAGGCTCAGGTAAGTATTAGGGTGGCTGGTTGGGCTGCTGCACACAGAAGGTTTTTTACCTTCTTGCATAGATTGCATAAAGGTAAAAATCCTTGAGCCTTTCAAACCATTTTAATGCTAATTAATGCATATTTGTATTACCCATCGGGGTGGGGGGATGGGGGGGGGGGCTTTAGACATCTCTGCACATGTTTTCCTTTATCTCTTTGCTAATCTGTTGAAAATAGAGTAAATTTAGGAACCCAACAGCTGAAAAATGTACACACATACATACATAGTATGTGAATGGTCAAGGCAGGGACTCTTATCGAAGAGCTCAGTTTGTGGTTTCTGTCTGACAAGCTGTTCCTGCTCTTTAGCTAACTCAAAGTGCTCCAGGAATCACTTGAGATATATATATATATATATATATATATATATATTATTTATTTATTTAATTATAATTATTTCTATTATTATTAGAAATCCATGTTTGCAGCCTTTTTCAGGCTTCCATTGCTGTTTTTGTCCCTATCAAGAGATTGTCCTGTATTTGATGTCCCAGAGACTGTAGAACAGTATTTAAAAAGTGGATGTTTGCTGCTTTGTAGGAAACACAACTAAGTAGTGACTGAGTAGCATCCTGAAATAGTTAAAGTGGTATTAATCCCAAATCCATAAATGTAATATATTGCAACTTACCAATCATTAGATCATTAGATTTCTTTTTTTTATGCTTTTTTCCCTCTGTTTTCACCTGATGATCTGGCTAATAACATACCTCCTATATTAGAGCGCCCCACTTTGGGAGAATGAGCACAAGGGGCACACAAGGCAACTGCGTTGTCAGTCTGGGAGGGGTAGTTTTAAATGTGCTAGCATATGTAGATAAACTAACAAATTGAAGCCAAACTCCACCTCACACTTTATAATAAGTTACAGCAAACAGTTTTGTTCCTTTTGGGATGAAGGTTTTTCGTAAATAAATTAAAGCTGACCATTGTAGGCATCCCTGCAAGTGTAAAATGGTTTGTCTCATCCCTGTAACCTTATACATCTGGAAGAGAGCTTGCTCTTTTGAAAAACAACAAACTTACTGGCTGGATCACCAGATGAAAATAGAAGAAAGAAAGCCTACATAAGGAAATGAGTGCAGCCGTCACATTTAAGAGTTGGTAGGCTGCAATATAATAAATGTTTGCTTTTAGTTTACTACTGCTTTAACTTTTGTTTGGAATTCTCCTGAAAATAGCAGTATGCTTACAGTGCCTTCAGCCTCAAAGCTGCATATCTGCAGTGGAAGATCATCTAAAGTATGATGCAATTGATTGCCCTGACAACTCTCATGAGATTTAAAGTAAGATCTTGTAAAGTTACTACTGTGCTGCTCACTTTATTTCTTGCTGGAGAGAAAGTTGTACAAGAGAAGCTGTAGTGCAAAGAACTGCCTGCTTCTGCTATATTTATTATGTGGATCTGTATTTCCTCCACCTCTCTTTCTACATCTTAAATATTACCCCACTAGTTATCAGATCAGCAATCACAAAGATGGCCACAGAGAGACACAAGCATGGTACATCAGCAACTGGGGAAAATCAGCTAAAGGGATACCAAAGCCATTGCTTGTGACTTGCCCTTTGCCTGCTGCTTGCCTTTGTGGGAACAGCTTTCCCAGTTTAGGTCCTCTCCAAGCTCATTTTGTGGGCACAAACACTAGCTACCAAACAGAATCATATCTTTAAAACTTACTCCTTAATGTATGTGCTATAACAATCACTGACTGCTGTGTTACAATGATTAATGGAGACCTGGCTGCTTGTAACTGGGGTTGGAGTAAGGCCCTGTGCTAACAGGCTTTTAATGGCAAATGCTGTGTGCTTTTGACATCTGAAGTCATGTACAATTAACTGCTTTTGCCTTCCCATAGATTTGTATGTAGAGAGAAGCAGCTCTGAAGAAAACAAAAGCCTGTTGACACAAGCCTCAAACATAATGAAGGCCTAAGTTTAGTTACATTTTTTAAACAGCACAAGGGACAGTACTTACATTAAATAAGAGGTGTCCCTTGTGCTAGTGGCTGATTGAAATCTTCAGTACTCGCCCTCCCCCCCATACCCCTGGTACTGCAGGGGTTAATATAGCCCCTGGACCTGTCATAGTCACTCATCAAAAGTGCTGACTATGACTGCTCTTTCTGCCCCACTTTTCCAATCATAGAAACTGTACTATAGCTTTCATCAATGAAATGTGATCTGTGAATGGAGGATGGAAGAATAAATAAAAGGTCCGTCTCCTCTATTTATAGATTACTTGTCATTGACAGAAGCTATATGAAAGCATCTATGAATGGGGGGGCCAAAAGAGCGGGCATAGTCAGCACTCTTGACAAATACCTATGAAAGGGTCCGACAGCTATATTAACCCCTGCAGCAGTAATCTTCTGGTCTGGGAGTAGAGTACTGAAGATTTCAACTAAGAGAGCACCCACTGCTCATTCAATGGGGGAACAGTCCCTTGGGCTGATCTGTAAAAAAAAGTTGCATCCTAACCACCATTACAACCTTGCTTATGTACAGAATGTTGGCAATGGTTGCACATGCATGACCAGCATAAGAAACCCATATACCTTGGAAGCATTTTGGAATATATAATTGTACACAGCTACACTGCAGAGGGAAAGGAAGTCAAGAGGAACCTAGCTTCTCTATGGTCTGAGTCACAGGGGCAGCTATCTTACTGGATGTGGATGCCCCATGTGACTTTGGCAGCCATCTTGGGTCAGGCAGAGTCTACTTCATACTTTGGCTCCCGGGCTTGGCAAGCATTTTGCATGTGGCTAGAATAGGGACAGGTCTCCCGTCTGTCAGGGACAGAGATTAGCATCAGGGAAATGTTCCAGAGGAGCAGGGAAAGTGCAGGGACACGCCATCCTTGCTGGAAGCATCCACACTTGAGTACGGACCAACCAGGCCTCATTCTGTCCCTCAAGACAGATGGTGTTGGCACACCTGGGATCTGCTGCTCTTATATTCTGCTGTTACCTCCTGTGAGTGCTCCTGGTTGGGTTACCTAACTGCTGGGCTTGTTGTACTGCCGAACATTATTGCTATATATTCCTGCTACTTGTACCTGGACTTTTGAGTGTTTACTGCTGCTGCACCCACCCACACAACGTTAGGAATAAAGGTTCACTCTAGAAAACTGAAATATTAAGCCTTGACATGACTACAGGGAGTACAATTCACCTGCTCAGTTCTTCAGTTTTTCATTTAGATATTTCCATTGTGCACAAATCCACACCTCTCCTTTTAATGACAGTATTAAAGTCTATTTCTAAGTCACCAATCATATTCAAACCTGTCCTAGAAATCTGAGTTGGTTTGGTAATGTAGAACCAGAGAAGATTAGACGTATAGGCCTCAGGACGAATACTCCTACTGCCCTACTACCCTCTGAGGTGGTCTGTGTGTGCTGGGACTGCAGTGACCTGCACAAAATTCAGATTAAGGTAAATTGGGTGGACATTGTGATTTTTACTAAAGTTTTGCATTCAGTAAATGAAGAATTATTAATTAATTTGGCTTATAACAGATGTCAGTGTTCTATACTATAATTCTGATTCTCCAAAGTCTGTATCTTGAAACTCAGCATAAGTCAGTTTAAAATGAACCGTGTGAATGGGCTCTGTAATCAGGTGTTCAAGTGTACTATGAAATTCTGTAACTGAGAGGTGAGTAGGGCAATGGTTTCCCAAGACTAAAATATCCATGAATGGAATGCAGTAAAGAGTTAAACAAGAGATAAGAAAATATAAAGAGAATCATTTGAAATCTATAATACAGTTAGCCAGTTGTTTAATATAGTTAGTTCAATAGTGAATTACTTAGGAATAGTGTGTGATAATCAGGGGCGGACTGACAACTCATGGGGCCCCCGGGCAATAGGGGATCATGGGGCCCTGTTTCCTTGCCCACACTCAAAGCACACCCCAAAAAAAAGCCTATAAAAGATACCAGGGGCCTTTCATGGGGCCCCCTACTGACCCCCGGCCCTCAAGCAGTGCCCGAGTGCTCGAATGGTCATTCCGCCCCGGTGATAATATATTCTGAATGAGAGTTGATTATGGCTATGCATTTATGTGTTTTCTGTCCTTGACTAAAGGATGAACCTGTTTTAAGGATAATATAGTTACGTGATGCTTTAGTATGGAAAGGTCATATAACAGTTTAATTTAGCACTAATATATCTTTCAGACAAATCCTCTGTATGTTTCTGACAATCATTTTTTTAATCATTATTTTAAATCAGCCTGTCAATTGAACAATTTACAAACCGCCTCAGCCTGGGTTCACATATGTGAGGTGCGGTATATCGCATGTGATTCGCACAAGAACCACATTCCTGTGCAAATCACACATGCAATTTGTGTGCAATGCGATTGGAGCCATACATTTTGTATGGCTCTAATTCCACCACACCTGCACCAAAAATGTGCAGGACCCTTTTTTTGGTCCGCACTAGAATCAGATTGCATGGGTATTCAGACCTATGCAATCCAATTCTGCACATCGCACCGCATTTTGCAGACTTCTTTCGGGGTGCTGTTAACTTAACATACACACCCACAGCGGTTCACATGAACAGGGTGCGATTCTGATGCGGTGCATAATTTGAACAGAAAACACTGCGAATTCCGCATCAGTGTGAACCAGGGCTTAAGGACACTAAAATATTAAAAGTGTTGCAATATTTTACAGTAACATATCAGTTCACTGATTCCATGGTTTCATTTGCAGCATGGAAGTGACCTTTAATTATGCATCACAGCTAATTAGATATATACCTGTTCGTACTCCATACTTCAGAGTGTCCCTGCAGTCCACCAGGATTTGCTCCAGTGACTCAGGGTTGTCTGACAGTTCCAGGTTAAAGCCTTCTATCCCTTCTAGGAGCTGGTGAGGGTGGTGGAAATCCAGGACTTTGGTGGATCTGTCAAAAGTTTTCCTCACATAATTCAAGAGAATGTCAACCACTTCCAAGAGAAACTGCATGGTGGATTCCTCTCCATTTTTGGCAGGCAGTAAATCTGCAGAACAAACAAGCTATTAGAAGGCCAGCCTTTGAATGTGAGCGCAAAAGATGGATCACCAGGTGACGGGGTGTCTGCTACTTGCTAGGATCTTTATATATGGCTCGCTCCAGGAGAATACAAATTGTCTACACAAAATCCTAAGTGCATTATCAGACATCACCCTGACAGTCAGAGTAGTTGCTCATTTGGAGTCAGCCATATTTCTTTGCCTAATCTCCGTCTCTCCCAGTCATCTCTGTTGCTGTGATTAAGCACTTACACATTATACAGACATTCTGTGTTTATAAAATAGCAGCAATTATTTCACAAGCAGCAATGCAATCTGTTTTAGATTGCTTTGAAGGCATATAGGATACGTTACCACATGTACTAAAATGCAATTTTTGTTAACAGTTGACAACTTACTGCATTTAAAGGGAATTATATGTTGGTTGTTAAACAATGCAAAAGTGCCCAAAAAGATGATTTTTCAATGCATATGCTGTTAAAGTGAAAATTCAACTTTTAGAAGTCTCGGTAAGATATTTATTTCAGGTACTTATATAGCGCCATCAATTTATGCAGTGCTTTACATATATATATATTGTACATTCATATCAGTCCCTAACCCTCAAGGGGTGTACAATCTAAAGTCCCTAACTCACATTCATACATACACATACTAGCCAATTTAGACAGGAGCCAATTAACCTACCAGCATTTCTTTAGAGTGTGAGAGGAAACTGGAGTACCTGGAGAAAACCCACGCAGGCACAGGGAGAACATGCAAACTCCAGGCAGGTGGTACCGTGGCTGGGATTCTAACCAATGACCCTAGTACTGCAAGGTGGAGGTGCTAATCATTTAGCCACTGTGGTGCCCATCATATCAGGTTCCCTTTACAGAAAAGACTTTAAAAAGCCACTGTCACTTTACCATAGATGGAAAAATGCCTCTTGATAGCCCATTCCTCCGACATATACCACTGCATGCTCTTTTGCCACCCTCCTGCTCCATGAAAGCCCTCACTCCATTGTGCCAGGTATGGGGGAGCGTGTGACCTCCATTTTGTGACTGATCAGGCCCAAGCATTGTCACATGAGGAAGGCAACATACACTGTCATATAGGGATGGCAGGGGGGAAAGGTCAGTGATAATATCCACCCAGGAGTTACACTGGAGCTTAAGCCCAGTACACATGATGAGAATATTGGACGAATGATCGTCCATTTTTTTTTGCATGCTAGTCTCATATCAAAAGTGAGGAGGTTACTAAAGTTATGAAAATTCTTGTACGACAGAATAAAAATTCAAAAGTGATGTTGTATTGTGTTTGTATTGTATATTTTTGGAGGACAACTGTACTGCTTAAACAAAAATCGTATGATCTGGTATATGTATAACATTTTAGTGCTTGTCCCTTCAAATTATTTCAGACGAAAGCTGTGTAATAACATTCAGATTATTGTATGATCACTTCAAAAGCAGAATTTTTTGTACGATTTTCTGATTGGGTGTAGTAGGCTTTATTCAGGGTGGACTCTTGCAGCAGGCAGGTGACAAGGGATCAGTGAGCATAATTGCTGGGAATGTGGACTGTAGGGGATAGTGTTACCCTGGATGGGCAGAGTGACAGTGTCTTTTTTAAGCCTAAATTTACCTAAAATGAAAAATTTCATCACAAGGGACACCCAAATTCCTCTTCCAGTGCTCAATCCCCACTCCCCTGCCACTGCAAACTTCCAGTGTGGTGGGGGTTAAAGTGGTTGTAAACGCAAATATTAAAAAAAATTACTTGTTGCCATAAATTAATACATTTTAATGTAAACATACATACATCTGAGTGTGTCTCAGAAAAATGCTCCCTTAGCTTGTCTCAGCTCTCAAAGAACTGCTGATCTATGGGTGTGGCTTAGGATCAGAGAATAGTAGGCGGAGATGTGATGTCACACAATCCCTCAGTTATACACACCCTCCAGACTTGGCTAAAGAACGTGCACATCTATCTGTCATCTCTATACCTGCGAGCGTGTCTCCTGAGTGCATTCATCTGTGCTAATCAGGAGAAAGCTGGTAGGAAGGGGTTAATGTTAAAATTCCTAGGAATCCTGCAGCCTAAAGTGGCAATGTGGACCAGGAAACATTCTTATGTAAAACTCTGTAAACAGAAATTCACAAGTTAGGTGCTGTGAATAGAGCAGGACAATAATCAGCTGTCAGCAGACTTACCTAATTAAGTACAGCATTACTGAAGTGATGCCGATCTATGTCATAAATGACTGGTGCTGAGTTCTCCATCTTGTGAAGGCAGAGACCAGCAGGGAGAGGACACCCGCTCCCCCACACCTTTGCAGTGTATTACATGGAGGCTCATGCTGGTCTCATCTTCAGCACAGCCTGTCACTTACAGGATAAAGGGAATGGCGACACCATTTTTCTGCTTGTGTCAGATTTATTCTGTTCAGAAGAGCAGAGGGGACTTCTGGAGAAGGGTATTGCTTCAACATAGCAAACTAAGCTCAAATGCTTAGTAAAGGTAAAATCTATTCAACTGTAGGATTAGATTGATTTGTGTTTTTTAGGTTTACAAGCACTTTAATAGAACTAAGGGACTGTGGCAGGCTCTCATCAAGACCATACCGACCCATCCCCCCAGCTGCTTCATTCATAAAAGCTGTTACTACAGCTTCCACGAATGAAACAGGATCTATGAATGGAGGACAAGCATATGATTGATAGGTCCATTTGACTGATAGATTGATGGCTTCTGTCACGGACTGCCAGTGCCTCTCCCATCCCCCACCATATCCCTCCCTTCCCCCTTGCACATTCAGATGACTGGAGCTTCCATGGACAGGGCTGGGCCCGCCGTTGCTGAGGCAACCTAGCCGCGTCCCTTATGGTTTTCAAAAGACCCGCACAGGAAGCAGCCCTCCTCTCTCTGTTCCTGTCCATGCTGCTGGAATTATCTTGCTCCCAGAAAGATGCTGGGAGGCTCGTGTGAGGGGGACCGAGCCTCCCCAGCCATCCCCCTGCGCACTCTGCAGACCCCCAAAAGGTCAGGACTGTAGCCCTCTGCAATACCCCAGGGTTGGGAGTCTCCACAGCTCTGCATGAGCCTTCTCCTCAAAGGTCAGACCCCACAGCTGAGACCCTGCCAGATCCTGCAAGTCTGTAAGCCTGTCTACTGAGCACCCTTGCACCCTGTCTGCTGTTGAGGGACCCTACACACTGTCCGTGGCTGCGTGTCCCTGGAAGCCGTCCGTTGTTGAGTGCCCGGGGAGCTGCTGCTTTCTGCTGATCGCTGGTTGTCCCTGGAACACTGACCGCTGGTCGTCCCTGTCTGGAGCCGCCTGCCGCTGAGGGTCTGCAAGCTGCTTACCGTGAGTGTCCTGAACTGTCCCTGTTGTGCGCACTGATCACCTGTGTCCTGAACTGTCCCCGCTGTGTGCACCGACCACCCGTGTCCTGAACTGTCCCTGCTGTGTGCACCGACCACCCGTGTCCTGAACTGTCCCTGTTGTGTGCACCGACCACCTGTGTCCTGAACTGTCCCCGCTGTGTGCACCGACCACCCGTGTTCTGAACTGCCCCCACTGTGTGCACCGACCACCCGTGTTCTGAACTGTCCCCAGCTGTGTGCACCGACCACCCGTGTCCTGAACTGTCCCTGTTGTGCGCACTGACCACCTATGTCCTGAACTGTGCCTGCTGTGTGCACCGACCACCCGTGTCCTGAACTGTCCCTGTTGTGCGCACTGACAACATGTGTCCTGAACTGTGCCTGCTGTGTGCACCGACCACCCGTGTTCCGAACTGCCCCACTGTGTGCACTAACCACACGTGTCCTGAACTGTCCCTGTTGTGCGCACAGATCACCTGGGTTATGCACTGCCCTACTACACGCCTAGACTACCCTTACTTGAACCGCCCCATGGCGTGCCCGGAGTATAGCTACCTGTGGTGCCCCTGAGTGCTTGAGTCATCGCTACCCGTTGAGTCCCCCGTGAACCCAATGTCCCTAGAAAGCTGGGTGGGAGCTGTGCTGAGGCCAAACTCTGCAGCTAGAGTCCCGTTGAGTCCCTGAGACCCCTGCCCAGGGGTAGATTGCCGCCTGTTGCCCAAGGCCCCTGCTCAGTGGTAGGTTGCCGTCTGTTGCTCGAGACCCCTGTCCAGGGGTAGATTGCCGCCTGTTGCCCGAGGTCCCTGCCCAGTGGTAGGTTGCTGCCTGTTGCCCAAGACCCCTGCCCAGTGGTAGGTTGCCGCCTGTTGCTTGAGACCCCTGCCCAGGGGTAGATTGCCGCCTGTTTCCCCGAGGTCCCTGCCCAGTGGTAGGTTGCCGCCTGTTGCCGAGGTCCCTGCCCAGTGGTAGGTTGCTGCCTGTTGCCCGAGGTCCCTGCCCATTGGTAGGTTGCCGCCTGTTTCCCGAGACCCCTGCCCAGGGGTAGATTGCCGCCTGTTGCCCGAGGTCCCTGCCCAGTGGTAGATTACCGCCTGTTGCCTGAGGCCCCTGCCCAGGGGTAGATTGCCTGCCTGTTGCCCGAGACCCCTGCTCTACACACTGTAGAGGAATATGCTTTGTTCATATTTCATGCCTGAGGTTTAAACCCACTTCAAGGAGGAAAAAAACAAATGTATCCCCAGCTGTTTTCCTTTTGTCACACTTCCATTTATACTTCAGGAAACAGGTTATTGCCCCTTTCTTTGGGATTTAATATATAGGAATTTTTTTACTATAATGTACCATAATCTTTTTCTTGCATGAAGCAGGTGCAGACATATTACGGACCACTTAAATTAATTTAACCCACTATTTCATATGTGTTTGACATGCCTGCCTTAGACATTCATAGATCAGCAGATCAGTATTAATATGTACCAGGAAATGCAGGGTGTTTCCACCAATCAGATTCAGAATTTTATAGTAGCTTTTAATCTGATTGCTGGCAGAGGGGCAGTCACTCCATTTCTCATCAAGTACACATTAATGTATCAATCCTTTAGCCTATAGGAAAAAGGGAGCATTTCTTATTAGGCCATATTAACAATCCACACGAACTTGAATCATTAATGAATTACTCCAGCAAGGTAAAGATCTATCAAAAAAGCATATATCTTTGTATTGAATCATTGCTCAAACCAGGCCCTTCATGACCAACAGGGTCTAAACATTATGGCCCATAACTCCCAGTTGGAATTCTGTTTAATCTTACCCTACTGATTGTTCTATTCTTTTTGAGCAATCACCTGATTTTTTAAAACATCAACTGAATCAGTCTGCTGCAAGATTGGCAACAAGGGGCAAATGCTGACCACAGACACAGCAGTAATTTTAAACCTGAAACCAGCTTTCAATGACAGAAAAACAAAAAAAGACAAAACACTTTCACAACAAATTGTCAATTTATACTTACATATCTATCTAATTGTTTTTGCAGCCAAAATCAGATTGAGAGTGTTTGTACAGGCGTACCTCGGTTTGCGAACGCCTCGGTTAAAATAATTTTTGGTTTATGAATGAAAATCCATTGAAAATAAAGGCTCAGTTTACAAATTTTTTTCGCAATACGAACAGGTTAATTGGTTTTCAATGCATTTACAATTTTTTTTAATTATGTCCCTGTACAGGACTATGCCTTTAAAGTGCACTTTATAAAGAGTTTTGATCAGATAAGACTTTTTAAAACTTTTTTCTGACCTCCGGAACAGATTAATTGGTTTTCAATACATTTACAAATTTTTTTTTAATCGTTTCCCTTTATGCCTTTAAAGTGCACTTGATAAAGAGTTTTGAACAGATAAAACTTTTTTGACTTTTTTCTGACCTCCGGAATGGATTAATTGGTTTTCAGTGCATTTACAAATTAATTTTTAATCATGTCCCTGTATAGTATTTATGCCTTTAAAGTGCACTTAATAAAGAGTTTTGAACAGATAAAGACTTTTTTTTAAACTTTTTTCTGACCTCCGGAACGGATTAATTGGTTTTCAATTAATTCCTATGGGAAACCACGATTCGGTTTACAAATTTTTCGCAATACAAAAAGTCCCACAGAACGAATTAAATTCATAAACTGAGGTACGCCTGTACTAGAAAGTTGCTATGTCTGTAATCAGCATTATAGTCCATGTTTCAATTCTCTTAAGAAGCTCAGGTATCATATTCAAGACAGATGCTTTTGAATACATTTCTACTGTGTAGAAGTGTAGAGTAGAAACATACACCAAGAGGATATGTATTGGAATACAGACTAAAGACTAAAAAAAGACACGTTATATCTCTGTTTTATGCCTTCTTTAATCTTTCCTGTACTTTCATTTAGACTTTCCATATTCAGTCCTTTTTTACAAATTTTTTACTGAAAAATAAGGATTGAAAATGGGTTAAAATTTGATTGATTTAATCCTGCATTTTTATTCTGCTTTCCAGTATTAATAAAACAGTAATATGTATTTTTACATGAAAATTAGGCAACCTAAAAACCTGCATTGTGCTATTTTTTTTTTGCAGCTTTAGAAAAAAAAGATACAAATGGATCCAAAATTTGAGCTAAAGTGATCTTATACCTAAGCAAGCTGAAGGAGATTTGTGTAACTGCCAATCACTTATTATTACAGGCATATTAGCATACCAACATGTAGAAATAAAAAGCATTATCTCCTATATTTGTCTAATATTTCCATTATACCATGAATACTATCCCGTTTGTGGTTTTATATTAGACACTTTTCCCTTGTTTGTAAGCACTGTGTACACTGGTGGCTTTTTGTAACTAGGTTAATCATGCATGAAATTATTAATGTGAATTGTAATTAATATATGATATAATAGCATAAGCCTAACTGAAGTTATAATAATAATATGACTTGTAGGATAACTCTATGCTGTAATAGTAATAATAATAACAATAATAATAATGTGCTCCAGTTATCTTTTCGATTAAAAATTTACTACACACTCATTGCCAAAGCTATTAAAACATCTCTATAAAAAGAGTTATTGTAAATGAGACTATGTGTAATGGTGTAAAGGCCCAGCAAATGAAAATGCAACAAATTTTTCAATATCACAGTCGGAGCAGTGTTCAGTAGAATAATTTTGGTTAATCTAAAGTTATACAATTTTGATAATTGTTAGGTATCCTTGTCATTGTTAATGCTGCACAGGCCATAGTGGTATATATTTGATAAAAGGTCTTACCTCTGGCATATAAGTTGGAGAAGTCTGTCTCGGTGCGTCGGAACCTTGATTCCTTCTCAATGTTCTCACAGACCAGGAGGTTCTTAGAGGACTGTCTCTCTTTGAAGGAACTCACAATTCTGCTCTTGTCTTCCAAACTGTTGTTCCTCTGCAGGAAGCCTACGTTATTACAAACAGAACAAGTCAGGGGCAGGCTCTTATCGTCCCTCAGCATGGTGACAACTGAAGAGAGTTCTGGCTTTAGGACAATAGATCAACTGGAAGGCTATCCTGCAAACTGCTAAACAGGCCTGTTGTAAGGACCTTTTATACTGGCTTATCTGATAGTAGGAGGCTGAACCCAAAGTGACATCAGCAGACAGTTGAAAAGAAAAAGCAGATTCCACCCATGCAAAAGTTGATCAGACAGATTCCACTCCACTAATCAGCCACCAGGAAGTAGTTCAGATGAGTCAATGCTATTATAGCCTGCAGGCAAAGTTTAGGGACTGAGCAGACAGATAGAGGGGGTAGTGAAGTATGATTAATGGCTGGACTACTTTCACTCAGCCTCTTGTTGCTCCTTCCCAAAGGAAGGATAATAAAATCCTTATCTCCCCATAACTGCCTCAATAAGAAGCACTGATTTGTTACCGAACCTTACATTTCAGAAGGGTAAATTAATACTGTGACAAGGCTGATTAGTGAAATTGGAACTCTCACAGAGGCTGTGGATCATATTTTTTTTTCCAGTCGATAGTGGTTGTAGCAAACTTGCTCATCAGAGTTGGATGCGAAGTTCCCCTTTTTCATTAGAAGTATTCCTCAATCCTTTATTCCCTACCCCCTCCCTTACTGAGAGGCACAGGGACAGATGTGTAAGTGTTAAAAGTTGCTGGCAGACAGGAACAGCAAGGGGCCCAGCGCTACAAAGCCCCCCCATAGAGACAACAGACACTCTGTCCAGGCCCGTGTAAAATCACCCCTCCTAACCAAGATAAGAAAGTTCTTTCCCAGGACTTGAAAGAAGTTGGAACCTCATAAATAGAGATGAGCGAATTATTCAAAAATTCGATTCGGCTGATTCGCCGAATTTGCGGGAGAAATTCGATTCGATGCGAATTTATTCGCCGCGAATTTAACTTATTTAAAGGGTTTCTAGGCTTCAGAGAGTCTTTATATTAGTGCAGAACACTGTACCTTTAATTTAAATGCCCTTGGAGTCTGCTGGGGAAGAGAAAATAATACTGTCAGTCAGTATGACATGCAGATGAGTGCCGTCGATCTTAGAATCACCGCACACTTCACTCATTTGGGCAGTCACGGGGCACGACGAAGAAGAAGAAGAAGAAGAAGAAGAAGAAGAATGAAAAGAAGAATGAAAAGAAGAAGAATGAAAAGAAGAAGAAGAATGAAAAGAAGAATGAAAAGAAGAAGAAGAAGAATGAAAAGAAGAAGAAGAAGAATGAAAAGAAGAATGAAAAGAAGAAGAAGAATGAAAAGAAGAAGAAGAAGAAGAATGAAAAGAAGAAGAAGAAGAAGAATGAAAAGAAGAATGAAAAAGAAGAAGAAGAAGAAGAATGAAAAGAAGAATGAGAAGAAGAATGAAAAGAAGAATGAAAAGAAGAATGAGAAGAATGAAAAGAAGAAGAAGAAGAATGAAAAAAGAAGAAGAATGAAAAGAAGAAGAAGAAGAATGAAAAGAAGAATGAAAAGAAGAAGAAGAAGAATGAAAAGAAGAAGAATGAAAAGAAGAATGAAAAGAAGAAGAAGAATGAAAAGAAGAAGAATGAAAAGAAGAATGAAAAGAAGAAGAAAAGAATGAAAAGAAGAAGAAGAAGAATGAAAAGAAGAATGAAAAGAAGAATGAGAAGAATGAAAAGAAGAATGAAAAGAAGAAGAAGAATGAAAAGAAGAATGGGAAGAAGAATGAAAAGAAGAATGAAAAGAAGAATGAGAAGAAGAAATGAGAAGAATGAAAAGAAGAATGAAAAGAAGAAGAAGAAGAAGAATGAAAAGAAGAAGAAGAATGAAAAGAAGAATGAAAAGAAGAAGAAGAAGAAGAATGAAAAGAAGAAGAAGAAGAATGAAAAGAAGAATGAAAAGAAGAAGAAGAAGAATGAAAAGAAGAAGAAGAAGAATGAAAAGAAGAATGAAAAGAAGAAGAAGAAGAATGAAAAGAAGAAGCAGAAGAATGAAAAGAAGAATGAAAAGAAGAAGAATGAAAAGAAGAAGAAGAATGAAAAGAAGAAGAAGAATGAAAAGAAGAAGAAGAAGAATGAAAAGAAGAAGAAGAATGAAAAGAAGAAGAAGAAGCAGAATGAAAAGAAGAAGAAGAAGAATGAAAAGAAGAATGAAAAGAAGAATGAAAAGAAGAAGAAGAAGAATGAAAAGAAGAATGAAAAGAAGAAGAAGAAGAATGAAAAGAAGAAGAAGAAGAATGAAAAGAAGAATGAAAAGAAGAAGAAGAAGAATGAAAAGAAGAAGAAGAAGAATGAAAAGAAGAATGAAAAGAAGAAGAAGAAGAATGAAAAGAAGAAGAATGAAAAGAAGAAGAATTAAAGTACAGCAAAAAGTGTATCTGCAGAGAGCTCCGCTATTTCTGACAGTTCTCTGACAGTTCCTTCACATTTACAGCGGTTGAAACATTGTATCTATTTATTTCGAATAAAAACATCTGTATCCTAAATGGAAACAAATAGATACAATGTTTCAACCGCTGTAAATGAACTGTCAGAACTGTCAGAAATAGCGGAGCTCTCTCTGCAGTGACACTTTTGCCGGCTGATCGGGAAAAATTCGATTCGTACACCCGAAGTTTGCTAAAATTCGATTCGATGCGAATCGAATTTTTCCTGATATTCGAAACGAATTCCACTTCGCCAGGTTCGATTCGCTCATCTCTACTCATAAACCCTACCAGCCAGGTGACAGAAGTTAAATGAACATTCCTCAGGTCAGCTGTCACCTATGTTTCATATCATGGATTATGAAGCTGTCAGTTTTAATGCAGAGCCAATCCGACGATCCCGCCCAAAACAGGGTATTGGCCAGTTACTCAGCGCCACCCCCCATCTCATCACACATCTCCTAATCGTAACATCGTAACAGCCGGAGATCAAAAGATCCTTCCGCTCTGCAACTTGGATCTGCTACTTAAAGGCTCTAAAATGGCAAGTAACTTAACCTTTTTCAACTTCTCCCTGTTATCTCTTTGCTGTGTGGTGCTGTTTCTATGCATATAAATATATATCTTAGTTACATTTTCTTTGTAAATATTTTATTGCACCTGTTTGACTCTTAGTAAAAAATCTTTCTTTCTGAAAGTGTTAAATTGTTTCTAAGCGCTTACTTGCAATTCACGAATTCCTGCCTTTTGAAGAGACGCTACTGTGTTTGTTTAATCCTCTGCCCAATTGGCCTGCGGTGACCGTATTGGACAGGCGACTTTTCAATCATTATAGTGTATATTTGATAGAGTTTCCCATTCTCTGTACAAAAGTGGTGGTGACAGTAGAGGGTTAATTGCGTAATTAACCCGCCCCAGTAACAAGCGCATTCAGGCTGTAGGCACCGATTGTAGTCCATTAGCTGGAAAATCGCTGTGCAGGGTGCAGCTGAGTGTGGCGTTGTTACGCACCTCACATCGCGGTCTTAGATCGGCCGGTCCTTCAGTCACGGGTTTGATGAGAAGGTCTGGGGTCTGACACCGCGGGCATGACGTATTGTGGGTCGCGGTCGTGCGATTGTCGCATGTTGGTTGCGGTGATCGTGCGATCGTGACATATTGGCTAGCAGTGTATGTGGGATAATTGCATTAAGAGCTTCAGTGCAGTGTTAAAAATTGGCTCTGCACTGAAGGATTGTAACCTTTGTGGAAACAGTCCTTAGAAACAAGCGGTGCATATTTTTTAGAGAGAGAGAGAGAGAGAGAGAGAGAGAGAGAGAGACATAGCAACAGCTCCTTCCTTTTCCTACTTTTCTTTTCTATCTTTGCTTGCAATTATACCTGGTGCCACAGATTACAAGAAAATGAGCAAAGGTGTTTTGAGTGCAGAATGTGCCTCACGAGGATTGGACGTCGGTCGCAAATATCGTGAAGATTTGATTAGTGATCTAGTGGAGTTTGATATCCGAGCAGAGCAGAACTCGGGGGAAATTAAACATGAAGAAGTTCCCGCTACCCACATTTCCACTGGCTCAGAGACGGCCTCACAGGATGGGCATACAGAGACTGACACTGGAAGATCACCAAATGTTATCGTCACACCACCGCCTGAGCGCGCCAGCACCGGAGTGCCTGTAATCAGCAGAGACCCTCCTCAGATGCAGGAAGCCCTGAACCGCCTCATGGAGACAGATCTGGAGGCATACCTGCGGTTCATGGAACGCCGGGCTGACAGAGAAACTGCGGAACGCCAAGCAGCAGCTGACAGAGAAACTGCAGAACGCCAAGCAGCGGCTGACAGAGAAACTGCGGAACGCCAAGCAGCGGCTGACAGAGAAACTGCGGAATGCCAAGCAGCGGCTGACAGAGAAACTGCGGAACGCCAAGCTGAGAGAGAGGCAGTGCAGAGGGAAGCTGATCGTTGGCATGAGCTGGAGATGGCAAGGCTCCAGCCACAGCGACCGGGTCAGAACCTCGGGTCCCTAGATCAGAGGGACGCCACTCTTTCCGTGGGCGCAGCCAAGTTTCCAGTGATGGAAAAGGACAGTGACATTGACACGTACCACATTCCAACAGTGGACTAAGGGACTGAAAGCTGATTCCTATGAATCTTTTGAAGATCTCATGATACGAGATCAACTCTTGCACATTTGCCCAGCAGACGTCAGACAGTTTGTCTTGGAGAGGGAGCCAGCATCTACTAAAGCTACAGCAGATCTGGCAGATACCTTTGTCCACACGCGGATGCCTGACCCTTGCAAGGCACCTCCAAACAGCTAGAAAGGGGGGAAATTGCCCCTAGCAACCTCTCCTACGTCGGGGAGTCAAGCTTCCCATCCACCCACCACACTACAGCTCCTGGGGCCAAGCCACTCCTGCCTGACAACCGCAGATGTTTCACCTGTGGGAAAGCAGGACATCTCAGGACCCAGTGTCCTGAGCAGAAGAAGATGACATCGGGCCAAGCAGCCCGCAACTCTTCCTCCGTGCTGTTGGTCAGTGGGACCCAGCACCAACCTACA